CTACGTGACGACTAAATCCGTCAATACATCCATTAATTACGATACAGCTTCAGTTTAAAGTCGTTTGCACAATTTCCAAGTCCTGCTCCTGATAATTAGATGCTAATGTGCTAAAAGTTTAACTATTTATTTATAGCAATACTAAAGAACAACTTGACAAGTTGCTCAACATTCCTCATTTTAATGCAGTGGTAACTGCATGCTTTTTCGTGTAAAAGCTACAATATTACGACTTTAAACTCGCAATATTATGACTTTAAACTCGTAATGTTACGACTTTAATCTTATAATATTACGATTTTAATCTCGTAATATTACAACTTTATTCTCATAATATTATGACTTTATTCTTATATGACTTTAATGTCGTAATATTATGACTTTTTTCTCGTAGTTTAAAAAAAATCTCGTTGTGTGGCCCTATCTCCGTCGTATATTCACTCAAAATGAAGTGGAAAAAAAACTTTCAACACCCTTTACAACATATATAGGTATCTACTTTGACTTGCTTTAAAAATAATGTCAAAAATCTTTCCCTTACAGATTTTCTTGAATGTTTACAGATTTGCAATGACACCATTTTGTACAGTTTGTTTACTTTCTGATACAACTGTTTGTCGTTAGAACTGTGTTTGGTGAATGTAAAAAGATTCTTAGGTTTATTTTGATACCAAACATGTCCAGGTACAACTGACAGACCTTAAGTTAAAAGAAGTTAAAAGAAATAGAAAACGGAAAAAAAAACTGTTTTGCATGGGGCTCAAGAGGTTAAAGCAAATGTAAAACAGCTCATCAGAATATTACCGTATTTTTCAGACTATAAGGCGCACCCCCAACATAAAAAAACAGTGCACCCAAATTGGTTGTCAAAAAAGTGAATTCAACATCAAARCATAAAAAGCAAACCTTTAGGAATTAAAGTTAGGAGGAATACGGTTCATTTAACTGACCTTATTTTGGTAGTTTTCTTTAACAGTTTCTGGTCCAACAAAATGTCTCATTCATCTTCCTCCGGCGCACTGAAACCATCGAAGTCGTCCTCTTCAGTGTCGGAGTTAAACAAGCTGAGAAAAGCTACGTCATACAGCGGTATCTGTTCAGTGT